AGTATTGCGTCGAATTTAGAAGACATGGTGAAAATTCAGTTTAGTAGCTTGCCTACGTTTGGTGTTTGATTTCAGGTAAACCATGTGCGCTGTACTTGGTCTACGTAAGAAATCGTCTGCTAAATATGATCGCCAATTTCCTATCGCACTCTAGTCCGCCACTCAACCAGCAGTAAGTTGTTTGGGTTGCTGAATTGTAATTTTTCGCGATTATGACCTGCAGCTGTACTTCACATATCGATGTTTCAGCATGTCGGAGCAAATAGTTCGTGTTCTTGGTTTCGACTGGATTTATTGCCTTCTATCGCCCGGTGTTCATTCAGGAACAGTATTCCTAGCACTCAGAATTCTTCTGACCCTCGTGGCGCATCCTCATTTGCTATCGAAATTCCGGGAAGGCACAGGGAGTGGTGGCTGGTTGACGGATGCGGACTCAGTTGTACGGAATCGAGCTGCTGTAAGAACTCGCTATTCTAATTCTGATTCTAATTCTGATTTGTCGTGCTCTAAATCTTTCTCTTTGTCACAAAATTTAATTCTATGGAATAGTCATGGGTTGTGTTTACAAGGCTCTTAGGAACTTTTTCTTTGTTATGATTAGCCATTCCAGGTGGTGTTAGGTTTTTCTGTATCTGCACACGGTGGAGCAGTCGGCAGCAAGATAGATATCAATCCAGAACTGCAAAACTGTGCGGGTTTCGCGGCGTTAGAGCATTTGATGGCTGCTCATGCAGACAAACCCCACGCATACCTTGCTATGTTAGCAATACTCGTTGGCCAGGTGAGCTGAACTTTTGGTTATTCTTTCCTTGTGAAAAGGAGTTTGCTTTCCAAATATTTCCCACCGCCTGTTAGCGAGAAAATCGCAAGGGTAAGGTCCGCAAAATTTTTCTAATAGGTAATGTTCGATTGATTGGTCTTAGAAGGGGTGGTCGTAATTACTGTAGTAAGCGTATCGCACGGATTATAAGGCACATATGTTACTTTTAGGCGCTAGAGCAATTGTTAGGGGGTGCGCGTGATTGCGATCATCAGACGTAAGTGTTAAAAAGTCAAACTAGCACAGCTGCGAGTATTGGTAAACGATACACATATGTATTACTTGGTCCTCACATGGTACACAAATCATACTAAATCACACCTTTGTCCAGTACCAACCTAGTGGAAGGCAGCCGTAGAACACGAAGCACCAAAGGAGAGGGTCGCGCAGAGCCTCAGACAATTCTCTTGTGAAGCGAGGTAGTAAGACCCCTAATTATAGGGGTGTCGCGACTTGAAACTGCGCAACAAAAGATTTAATGCTTCCGCTCGACCGCTGCGATTGCTGCCGGCCCTATCAATCGTGTCCTCTCGCGTACCACGTGCTCTCTACTTCCCTCGCTGCGTTTTGTTTCTCCGTCATATCACAGCTTGCCCTATAAGGGAAATTTCAGTGTTTCGCAAGGTGCTGCTTCTCATTAACATTCTCTTCGCACTTCATGTCCAATTTGGAACGGTATAACACACCCATTCGATCCTGACCCATGCCTTTAAGTTTTGTTATCGTGAACCGCATTGGGAAGCAGAAGATCAGCGGTGTGCGCCGACAAAATTCGCGGAGATGACGCTAATTGGCACAGCTACGAACTAAAAAGCTAAGGGTAGTTGAAAGTACGATAGACGAGACGCCTTCTGTTCTTTGATCGTCTTCAGCGACATGGGTCAAGACAACTAAAATTTCGATTTTCGCCTCGTCTTTCTTCGCTGCACGTCCTGGTATTCCAGGAACACTCCCACCTGTACTCCTTCACTAACCTGTGAGCATTTTTTCCCTCCGACCCCCCATGCTCTCAGAATTTTATTGTGACTTTGAATTTCACCTCTCCCTATTTCGATGTACTTTGTCCGCCATAAACGTCTGAACTTCTATTCGCCATAAACCTCATCCGCTATTTTCCAATCTATGGGCTATCGTTGATCTGAATAAGAGCTTCCGCAGCAATCCACACTCCGATCCGAGCACGCCCGCCTACTTCGGCATCTGGCCCCCCCCCCTTCGCCAACCTCTGCCCACTTTTTCTCGCTCGCGGGGTCTCGTGAACTAGTGTAGGCGTGAGCTGTCCTCCAATCAGAACGATTCTCTGAACTCAGTTATGAAGCCGAAAAGAGGGTGTGAAATTGAAAGTAGTTGACGGCAGCGAAACGGGTCGGAAAAACAAAACAACCAACGCTTAGGGTAGGCAAGATTCTGCTTTATATGGAAGAATTCTTTATGGTAATGTGTCTTTGAGATGCCGGGAAAAGTAGAAAATCGGCTTCAATACGCACTGAGCAGTACGGGCGTAATTAAGATGAAAAATGGCGGTTACCCTGTAGGTATCGTTGAATCGCTTGTGCAAAGCGCGCAGTAGGGTGCGCACTGGATGAAGTGGTGCTAACGAAAATTGGCGCTCCATGCCAATATTCCCACCCTCTGGAAAAACTGGTCGTGTAGGCAATTTCTTCACTTTTAGCCCGTGAAAGATCTTCGATTTTGTGAAAATTTCAATGTGGACCAAATATGGACACATGTCTTTGGACTGGCGCTGAATAGGTATACATTTCTATATTTAGGGAGTATGGTACTGTTTCTCATAATCTCGCGTTTCAGCTCCGTCTATGAAGCAATCAAGTCAGCAGAGTTCTGCTATGATGCGCTTATACCACTTCTAGCAATGGTCAGAGCCTGCATCTATTCCGGCAATGAGGTACGTGTAATTTACTTTGTGTCAGTACAATATCGCATCCATTGCACATAAACTGATTGGGTGTCGGTTTTGGAACATCAAATTCAACTAGTTCAAAATGGTTCCCTTTGTGTGGTTGCGTGCGGACAACAATGTTTACTTCTTGTCAGGCTCTGCAAGGATGGCATGCCGATTACCCATCAGCTGTTGTGCAAATGATTACATTCCTTTATCAGAATTCTCCCAACTTTTTTGCAATTGCTCACTCGGAAGAATTCGTTCTTGCAATGTTTTCTAGTCTGATCCAGGTAAACATCTTCAATGTAATATTTTTGCTGCTGCTGACAAGTTAGTTGAAGATATTCCGAGGACTTTACAGGATACTAACGCAATGGGAGTTAAGTCAGAGGCAGCCGACAAAAATACCGTTGGAACACCTGAACTTGAGAAAGTACAAGGAGGTTGGATGTGTTTGAGCTTGCAGATAAAGTTTTCCAGTTCAAAAATTGTAAAAAATTAGAAATACTGTTATATTTCATTCAAAGGACCCTCTGTGAGAATTTTCGTCTTCTCAAATCAAACTTCCCGGCCGATGCACCAAACTGTTCTCGGTGGTTCAGCAACAGAGCAAATTTCATTAACATGACAGAGAATCCACAACATAGGATAGAAAGTCGCGATTGATCGCGACACACCTGCCCCTCCACTAGTCTACAGCCGTAAACTATGCCCACTACACCTCTATAACGGCAAGGGAGGAGTAGTTGACGTCAGCATAATTGGACTTGTAGCTTTGTATATCATCTATATCCCTGACGTAGTGAGACAGCTTTTGCTTGGGAATACTAGAATCAAGATCTTTTTTCTCCTTTGCCTCCGCTCTTCTCCTCGCTTGACGAACACTATCGTTCTGAGCTCTTCAACTGTCTTGCTCACTGTTAGGTGCTAACAACTTTGCTATAGAAGCGGATGTGTGGTTGGTATGCTACTTCTGATTTCTGGCTCACCTCCAACTAATTTAGATGGCTCATTCCATATGCGTTCATGCATTCATGAACTTCTTACTTGATTTGCCTCTGAAAACACAACTTTCGTCACGATGATAATATAATTTTATGGCTTATTTCAAGACTTTCAGTGCTAGCTTTGCCAAGCGTGAAAGCAGTCCTCGACTTCATGAAGAAGTTGTTTTGTGATGATTTTCAAGTTGCGCCTGGAAGTCGGGCGGACAGTTTGATCGACGTTATTACTGAAGTAAGTTTTGTTTCGGCTCAGGTGGTATGCTTATGATTTTTTCTTCGGTAAATCGTTATTATACTACAGTCACGAGTTTCTATAAGTAAACAGCCAATGTTACTCTCCATTTTCTTGTCAGTCATGTTCCATTTCTTCTTTTTTGTCAATGACACACGTGTAGTGTTGATTTATTTCCAGAGTATAGCAGAAAATGGCCGCACAAGAAAGTTACAAATTGTTACGTTAACAGCTTTAGTTCATGGGGTAAGGCTTGTTCATGTGTACTATTGTTTTCGTTCTGCATGCTATGTAAGAAAGGCTTTATAGGTTTTCGAGCATTTATTAAGCACTGATCTCTTGGTTTCGTCATCCCTTCCCCCTAACGCTCCTCCTCAGTCGTTGGCTCAGGTGAGATCGGTTTTGATCTGAGACTTTTGCATATCTTCCAAAGTAGTCATGGCAGTTTTCCTCTCACAAGTCGTCTCAGTCAAGAACTATTCATGGACAGAAACCAATTATAGGTGGGAGTTAACATTTCGTACATGGCTCTTCGTGCAGTCGACTGCCTTTGGAATGGTTTTATAGTCGGTGAACCACTCCGATTATTACAACTTCTTTACAGTGTCTACTCGATAGCTAGTCGCAAAGAGAATAAGGTAAATTTTAATTCGATTTACATGATTTTTTTCATTATCGCTCATCACTATTACTTTCATTCAGGAAATTAATTTGGATAGTCTAACATCGTCCATTATGCGGTGTGTGTTGTATATACTGAGTCGACCAATTGAAAATGTGCAAGGGTAAGACGGTTTAGACGCTTTAGACGCTTTTTGATAAGGGGCGGAAGTTCCGCTGAACATGGAGTGCTTTTTTCAAAAGATTTTTTGAATTTTACTGAAAAGTGGTAGGCAGGTAGCGCTACATACCACGTACTTTTTCCGTGACACAAGGCGTGGACTGGACAGTGTCAGGTCCATCTAAGCCACGATCAAACGTGCGTTGAGAAATCCTCGACGGGAGGGGGATCATATAAGGTTTAGTAGAAAGAAGTCGTCGGTGCCGGTATGACGTAAGCAAACCAGCCCTTTTGGCGCTTCGGCTGGGACCGTATGCTGAATGTTGGGGAGGGGATGGAGTCCCCGACGGTGGACGGACCACTTCAACTCGGTCCTTAGAACCGCCACAATTTGGTGCTTACCTCAGAACTAAGCCTTAAAGAGAGGACGGGTCCGTCCCCTCTCCAAGGCTTAGTCCTGGGGTGAGCAAACCAGCCCTTCTGGCGGAGCTGCTGGACCAGCTGCACCACTTGCGTCAGTACTCTCCTATCGTACCAACCGAGTTGAAGTAAACCGTCGACCGTTGGGGACCCCATCCCCTCCCCAACATTCAGCATACGGTCCCAGCCGAAACGCCAAAAGGGCTGGTTTGCTTACCTCCGTATAAACGGTGGTAGAGCAGCGGTGGACTATTAGGGAGTGGTAACCGCCGGTCGTCATTTTTCCTAGAGTGGTGCATAAAATAAGTTCTTGATTCAAGATAAAGGGCATAACATTCTTTCGCAGTAGACATTGATATAGGTCATCGAGCTATGGGCATGAAAAATTTGGCAGGTAGTAAAATTATATTCTATCGATCAGCTGCTAAGATGACCTTTTTATATTCTCTAACTTGCTTTTAGTAATTTGGAAGTTATAATGACTCAATAGTGGAGAACGTGATGGATCTTCTTTCCGTTGCAGTAAAATCGTTAGATTTTCACTATTCACTTCCAGTGCAAATGTCCGTGTTGGATACTCTGTCGTCTATTGTGACAAAGCGGTATATTTTCCTCTCGTCGAACGAGAGTTGGTTCTTCACATCTCTCACTCATCTAATCTTCATGCTCAGCGTAACACCAGATATTATGCAGCAGGAGAACGCTCCTCTTGAAAAAGCTAGTGCACAGGTAAGCAAGATCTATTGAATTGCTATGGCTAGAGCAGTACTTATTTAAAGTCTTGTTTGCGTAACGTTCCACTAATACGTTATAATTTTTAGTAAGACAATTACTAATAATACCAATTAATAACAATTCACTAACTTGCTTCTATCATTCATTTAAACCATAATATCCAAAATACAGGTTGCTGTGTGTGCTAGCCGTGTGTGGACTGATGTCATCTCGTCAAAGAAAGCTTTACTTGAGGAAGCTTTCAAGAAACCCACTGTTTGGTATGTTCTGGTTTCACTTGTTTTTCTTTCGCTAGGAAGCAAGATCATAGGCCCACACATTCGTTTCACGGAATGTCTTTCGTGCAAGCTTCACAGAATTTGTGAAAAGTAGGTTTTTTAGTGAATTGAACGCTGCACGAGCACTGCTAGCTAATGTGGCAGGTCAGCACTGGCATCAGTTTGTTGACAGTCAACTGTCTGGGACATATCCGAACCATACCATTTCAAGAGATATTCAAACACAAATCAGTTCGGTTAGTGCCTTCAATTTTTTTGACTGTGGCATGCTTCATGGGAGATTTAGCCGCGTCATATCGGTGCTGTTTCGAAATCGTCAAAAATATAGAAACTATTAGCAGTAATCATGTGTCCTCTTAACGGAGGTTTGCACGCCTATATTGGAGGTCGATGAAGGGGACGTATACCTAGTGGAAAGGCAGGCGAACCCAGTTAACGGTGGGGGACGATGATCTTGCAGTGAAAAACATGCCTCAGCGGCCTGGAAGGACCGTACACGTACCGCTGCACGTCACACGATAGCTGCTTCATCGCCGCGTGACTCGATCCGCTTTTGCAGAGTGAGCGTTAGCGTTGATGAGGTCAGCACCAATGAGAGTAGCCTAAGACGCAAATCAACGGGGAAAGAGAGGGTCCCACTTCTGGCGTTTACGTCATTTTTCTTGATTTTTTCTTCATCAGACATCACTGATCACCTCAGCCTTGATTCCTAATCGTCTGTCTTTTCATCGTAAGTTGCGGCTTTCATGTCTCCGTGACTTTGCATTCACTAAGGATTTTCACTAATCAAGAAAAAAACCACCCTTTCACTGTGGTATGAGACGACTTACAAAATTTGCAGAAAATCACCCGAGTTGCTTCTGGACTACATAA